AAATTTAAAACGAAGTTGTGTTAACACTTAAAGAATTTGATGAATCATTAACGCTTGACCATAAACAGCAATGGAGTGATATCTCTCAACACGTTTCAAGAAATATTATGCCAGCAATCGATAGGACATTAAAAGAAAAAAACTTTGTCTACACTAAATCAGAGTTAAAATATGTCTTATAATAGCTTTATCGGCATCATCGTGAAAGTTGGCAAATTTTGTTAAATGATGTAAAATTGAAATCAGATAAAAAAAGAAAGGGTACCAACTCAAGACGTTCAGAAATAAGTATATTAAATATATCATATATCAGATTATGATATAGCTTATTTAATTTATTTGTTTTAATTATTTAAGAAAAAAGAAAGGTGACAACGTGGTATTATGCACATATATAATACCAATAATGAGACCCTAATAGATATAAAACCTAATTCAATAACTAATAACGATTATCAAGAAGATCTCAAAAAAATTCTCGCAGATGGTAGTTATCACTCAGATGAAGTATCGGAAACCGATAAGGAAAGAGCAAAAGAAGAAATTGTTCAACATCTTCAACTGAAAATAAAATCAGTAATGATATGCATGTTATTCATGTATATGATAAGCAATAGTGTTCACAAAGAGTAAGTAAATAAAATTATTTGTTTGTCTTTACTTTTTTTCCTTTTTCTTTTTTCTTACTTTCATTTTTTTTGTTGTTATTTATTTACAAATTATCGTTAATATTGTCGTAGCTAAGAAAAATTCTCCAACGAGCTAATCAAATTAACAAATTAGTACAATACATTAACATTCAAAGAAAGAGATAGTACGATAACATCATCTATAAAGATAACTTGATTCCATCAGACGACGCTTCTGAATAGGCTATTTTAAACTCGTATAGTTCGTATGAAAGGGGGAAGAAAGTGGGTATATTAATAAGTGAATTAATTGTCTTATCATAATGATTAGCATATTGGATTTCTCGAAAATAAGTAGTAATGATAATATGTAAAAATAAAATTGCTCAATAAATATTATATATGTAATAAATAAATAAATAAATAAATAAATACTCAATATTTTATATGTAATATGTATAAAAAATAAAATATTCTAATATCAGAACTCTTATTTTAAACAATCATACAATAATTATGAAGGCATTATTAAAGTATCATTGAGATATTAGAGTATCCGATATGTGTGTTGATATTGTATGATATTTAATATTTGATATGTAACTTATATTTATCTTTTTCTGCTAAATATATGAAAAATATCGGGGATTATCAATCATATAAATATAAGGCTATGATCATAGACATATCAGACGATCATCAGGTGACTGATATATGTTCGTTATGTCTTCTTTTGACCTGTGATAGCATAATATATTTAATCACAGGTAAATATACTTTTTATGATAGTATAATATATTTAATTAAATAAATTATAGTAAAATTTTGATGATAAAGAAATCTATAAATACAAATATTTTTTATTTTATAATAGCTTTCCAGAAATTTTCTTCTTAAAAATGATCAAAATGTGTGATCCCTTATATTTCACATATACTGTTCCTAAAAATTGATAATAACTGTATTTTAATAATTAAACTAAGAAATAGAAATTATTAAAAATCCAAAGCAAAATTTTTATTTAAAATAAATAAATTAATTTTTATTTTTGTTATTTTATTTCATTTTTTTATTTACTAATCTTATTATAAATGTAGCATGATAAACAGAAATACTTATATGATTATAAAATTTTACACTATTTTCTAAAAGTTTAATATTTTATATTTTGCTCTGGATAATAAAATTAAATTTAAAATACAAGTTTTATATTTAACTATTATCTTAAATATATTTTAATTTTTATTTTATTGTATTTATTATATTAAGTTAAAAAAATACTACCTCTTTCTAAGCAAAAAAGAAAATCAATAAACTAAAAATGTATTGTAAATAATAAATATGATGTTAAAAATATATGATATCTAAGTACAGCCTAATTTAATAATAATTGTAAAAAATATATATAAAGTCAATTGATATAGTATAGTTACTATAGCTACTGTTTCTTATAATAGTAATAGTCTTAATAATAGTAGTTTATTTTATCTTTCTGGTAAAGATAGCTTATTTAATCTTTTTAATAATAGTGATTTGTTAGGTCTTTTCAATAATAATAGATCATTTAACTTTACTGATAATAGTAATTTAATTAGTTTTTCTGATAATAATGGTTCATTTAGTTCTTTTAGTAATAGTAGTTTATTTAGTCTTTTTAGTGAGAATTTAAACAAAGGCAAAATAAGTATAAATTTAGAATTCTTTGGTAAAGAAAAAAAATGAGATGATAATAAAAATAGTAGTTGGGATGTTGATGATGATGATATTATTAAGAATATTTAAAATCTAAAAAATAAAGATTTTAAATTAGTATGAAAGAAAGATAATAAGTTAGAAAAAATAATACATGATTGATATATAATAGAAAAGATTTTAAAATTAAGCTAGTATGAAAATATAGATCAAATAATTTATTACTAAGGTAGCTATTAATATTAAAAGAATAATAAGTTTTTTTTAAAATTAGTAATCAAGCTATAAATAACCTGATAAAATAAAACAAATTTCAAGTAATTCAAAAAATGAAGTTATTAATAAAGATACTTACCAAATTAATAAAAGAATATGAAATCTAAAAAAACAATTAGAAAAGTAATATAATCAAATAATTTTTACTAAATATAATAAAAAAAAAGGTATCTTTAAGTATCTTATCTACTTAAATAATGGAAAAATGCATGCTAGTTTAGAAGCAACTAAAATTATTTTTATTGATGGTGATCTATAGAAAGTATAATGTATCTGATATTATGTAAATTATTAGTTATATAATAATAAACTTCTAGTATTTAAACATAAAAATATCAAAAAAACTATTAGGTTAATTGATGATGAAGATATAGCTAAAAAATGTTAAACTTGAGTTTACAAGTAAAATTTTAAGGTTATACCAGCTATATTTAAAGAATTTATTGAACAGAAGCTATTGCCTGATATTGGAATTACAAAAATAAAATATTTTTTTAATGATTTCAATAAAATGACTTATTATTCTTGATTATTCATTTCAGCAATATCATCAAGATATATATTTTAATAGATATGAATGAGATAATATTTTATAATATTGTAAAATATTTTTAGAAGAAATGTTTGAATATAAAAATATATATCTAAGTTTGAAGGTAAAATAATGAATTGTATACATCCTAACTTACCTAAAGAAAAAAAAGAACAAATTTTTATAATTTATAATGAGTGCATTTTTATTCTAATAATAATAAATATAAATATAGATCAAAAATAGAGAATTATTATTACAAAAAAAAGAAATAGAAAAATTAAAATTCAGATATACTTGAAAAAGTATGATATTATCTAAAATCTGATAAAAATCAAAAAGATTATTGAATAACTAATCATCTTCTTGAATAAATCAAATATAAAGCCATTTCTATTTTTAAGATATTGTATTCAGATTGTATAACGTATTTGCTTTTAATAATAGTTTTAATCATGTTACATTTAAAAAAGATATTTTAGTTATAAGCTAAATGAATCTAAATCCTGATAGTAAGCAACCAATAGTATTTTCAGCTATATATCATAATAAAAAACTTTGAAGTAAGTTTAAAGGAATTATAAAATATTAATAAATTAAAAAAAAATGGTTATCTGAAAAATTAATGCTAAAATGTAAAAATTATAAAGATAAAATTCAAGATTTTTCAAGAATTTTCTTATTGTATTTATTGAATAATAATTCTAGAACCTAATTTTCTTGCACAAAAAAGAGTAATTAAAGAATTAATTGAAAAGTTTAATTATAAATGTATATTTTATCTCAAATTTCATTATGAATTAAATTTTATTAAAAGATATTAGAAAGCTTATAAGAAATATATATATAAAAAATAAGATTATTTATAAAATAGATTATAAAAGGTTATATCAAAATGTCTTGAATCAGTACCTTTAATTATAGTTAGAAAATTTGCAAGAAAATATAGTATTATATAAATGCTTATAAAAAAAGTATTAGTAAAAAATTGATAGAATATATTGTTAAAAAATATAAGTTGCATAGAAAAATTCCAGATGGTATTTTAGAAGAAATAAATAAATTTCTTTTGTCTGATAATTATTTTATAATTAATAAAAATTAATTCATGTAATTAAATTACATAACGAGTTATAAAATAAATTTCAGACTCTTTAATGATTATTATAGATATCTGCCAAAACCTTCTCAAAAAAATTTCATTATACCCTTTTCTATATTTTTAATATAGTTTTAACAGTTTTAGCTTTTGTTATATCAAATGAGTTTCGTCATATCTCTTATTATAATTTTAATATAGTTTCATTTAAGTTTTGACTGTTATTAAGAGGTTTCATTTCTCATCTATAATGATTATAGGTATTATATATTATATTAATTAATTTTTTACTAATTAACCTCATTTTTTACACATTTTTTCAAAATTAATCATAAATTTTCAATTAGATTTAAACTAAATTATTTGAATAACTTTAGATATTATTTAAAAAGAAGTTTTTTAGTTTTCTTAGTTATATATTAGAGTTATTATTCTATTGAAAGATCTAATATCTTTTTATTATATATTTTGCATTTTCAAAAAGATTTTTATTTAATACCCTGTTCATAATTTTAATAAAAAAGAAATCCAACTTAATTTTTAACTAAAAATGCATCTTACATATAAACTTTATATAAATGTTTAATTATAGGTTTTTGTGACATTGTATACTAATCTTATAAAATACTTTTTAAGTATTTTATAATATCTAAAAGTGATCTTATTAGAAAAGACAACTTAGTTTCAATTTTATTTTTAGTATTTCATTGTAATTTCTATATAATGCTGCTTATAAAGGTCTGTAAATAAAGAAATAAACTTTAGAATTCTACAAATATATTATAAGTTGTAAAGCTTTCTAAATATAGTTGTCACTGGTTATAACGAACCTGTTTATACTGAAAACTGGTTATATCAAACTATGTAGCGCAAAACTGATTTTTTATAATTAATTACACTGGATATATCAAAATTACATAGTAAAATTCCATATACCGCATCTGAACTATGTTG